AATATGAAAGATATATATGATTGATGTTTGACCCCCGCTCCCAAGGGATCATGACCCACAGGTTGAGAACTTCTGATGTAGACGTTCCTGGGAAGAGCCAGGCTGCCATTGTGTAGCATTTATAAATAACCACTATGCTGACCTCCTTTCAACAGGCTTTTCAGGGTCCTAATAGAGAACTTTTTTTTTCTTTTCTTTTTTTTCTCACCTCAAGACAGGGTTTATCTGTGTATTCCCGCTGTCCCGAACTCATTCTGTAAACAATGTTGGCCTCAAACTCATTGGTCTGCCTGCTTCTGCTTCCTGAAAATGGAAAACTTTTTTCATTAATCAGCTATATTATAATTTTTGCTTGTAACCTTTCCTCTGTGGTTTTCTGTCTTGGTGTGTCCTAAGTCAGTGTATAACTACGCACAAAGTGTCACTCCTCACAGAAGGGCAGGGTATGTTTAAGGCTAGGCTCCACCTTCCAGATGGATTGTCATGTAAATGTACGCATTAGCAAAGGTTGCATTGGAAAGATCAGGGTTTGAAACCAGGTCCGGTGAGTTCGAATAGCCACCTTTGATATGCATCACTCATGTGATGTCAGTATGACATTCATCTGAAATTCAGTTGCTTTATCTCCAAAATGGGAGTGATAAATCCTTAACTAGGCTACAAATTTGTTCCAAGAATATAAGGAGAAAAGATATAAGAAGTATAACATTTAAAAAATAACTGAAGGCTAGCAAGATGGTTCAGACAATTAAAAAAAAAAAAAACACCTCAAAAACGTCAGTTTTATCCCTGGAACCCACATAGTAGAATAAGAAAGACCTAATTCCTGCAAGTTGTCCTCTGACCTCCACCATGGAACACACACCCTCAAATAAATAAATAGTTTTAAAGATTTATTTGCTTTTATTTAATGTCTAATTGTTTTTACCTGCATGTATGTCTGTACACCACATGTATGCAGTAACCACAGAGGTGAGAAGGTGTTGGATCTCCTGGAACTGGATATTTAGACAGTTATTAGCAGCCATGTGAGTACTGGGAATTGAACCCAGGTCTTCTGAAAGAATAGCCAGTGCTCCTAACCACTGAGTCATCTCTCCAGCCCTGTAATATCTTTTTAAATGAATGAATGATTTTTAAAATACAAGAATGTTGGTAGCAAATGAGTAAACAACAACAACAAAAAAAAAAAAACCCAGATGTATTAGCTGGGATGGGGAGATGGCTCAGCGGGGAAGCACACTTGCTGAGCAAGCATGAGGACCTGAGTTCAAATCCTCAGCTCCTACATAAGAGCCAGCTTACAAAGACAGGCAGTCCTGGCACTTAGGAGGCAGAGGCAGGCAGATCTTTGACTCTAGGGCCAGCCTGGTCTACAGAGAGAGTTCTAGGATAGCCAGGGCTACACAGAAAAATCCTATACAAAATCCCTGTAACTCCAGCACTGGGAGGTGAAAACAAGGATCATGGGAGGCCACTAGTCTTTTGAAAACGATGTACTTCAGATGCAGCGAGAGACCATGCCACGAGAATAGTGTGGCATGTGACAGAGGAAGACAAGACATCCTCCTCTGACTCTGGTATGTGTTCACAGGGTGCATGTTCCTGCACACACATACACATAACAGGCACACACCATACTACCACTTCCACACACAAATTTCTAAAAAATGGTTTAGATAAGTCCAGAAAAGGAGACTATTCCTATGGCAGGAGAGTATCTTGAATTTGGCATTAGTCAGCCCTTGCAGACTATGTATTATGTTGATATTCATGATACAAACAAGAAGGCGCTGCTTTATTGCTTTCTTTGGAAGTCCGCCACCTCCAGGACCTGACTCTTCTGTCTTTGGATTCTTGGATTCTTTAATCAGAGAGAAGAGAGAGATTTCTGGTGGGTAGGAAGGAGAGAAAGCTAGTGGCAGAGTAAAATAAAAGGAATCCAAACTTTGGACATGATGCTGTAGTGTATAATATTATGTAAATGTAATATTATGCAATGTAATATTGCAAATGTAACATGCAATATTGATGCATGTAAATGCAACAACAAAAAAGTATAAACAGTATGGCGGGAATGACTTCTGACCGGGAGGGTTGAGGACAGGTTCCTATGGAGGAAGTGCTAATACAGGACCTGGACTTGGAAGGATGAGCAGCCATTGCCAAGGACCAGCCTCAGCTTGGAGAGGAGCTCCTGAGGAAGGGATGTTTGGGAGAGGCAAAAGGAGTCAAATGTGGGTACAAGCTGACAGCTCTGTGTTTTGCTTGAGCTGGCTCTCCAGACAGCTGTGTGGATAGCTCAGCTCTTGCAAAGCCCAGTCTTTTATTTACATATCAATTCAAATCATTATTCCAGGTTCCCTTTTGATTTTTTCATAAATCACCATTATATGATATTAGCCCCTTGATTCTTAGAAAAAGACAGCCAGTACATTTTTTTTTTAAATATAGCAAATGAACTCAGATATCTCCCTCCCTTTGTAAGCACAAACAATAAGCTTAGCTGGGTGGGTTCCCATACTAAGACTACCATTCCCTCTATACCTGGGCTTAAACTTGCTCTGTCTCAGGTTGACCTTGACAGACAGAATCATGCTTGGTAACTTTTATCTAGTAATTTCTTTTTGTAGCAACTACCAAAACTACAATTTCGGAATGATAGATTTTATAACATCTATAACAGATTGTTAATAAAATGGAGAATTGAGCCAGTGTTGTACTACACACCTCTAATTATTTGAGAGACTGAGGTAGGAAAAAAAAATTTTTTTTTGTTTTGTTTTTTCAAGACACGGTTTCTCTGTATAGCCCTGGCTGTCCTGGAACTCACTCTGTAGACCAGGCTAGCCTCGAAACTCTCAAACTCAGAAATCCACCTGCCTCTGCCTCCCAAGTGCTGGGATTAAAGGCGTGCGCCACCACCGCCCAGCAGGAAAATTTACTGTAATGTGGAGGCCAGCCTGGTAGGCTACCTAGTGAGCTCCAAGTCAGCCTGGGCTACAAAGTAAGATCCTGTCTCAAAACAATGAAACAAAACTAGAAAAACAGAAGAGGCCTGGAAGAGTATGAAAGAGTAGCCTCTTCATAGTCTAGGGATAAAAGAACTAACTTTAAACATTTTTTTCAAGTGATTAACTTTCAGTTTTCATGTCTCTAATGGGTATCTATAATCAAAGTTTTATTTGTTTACCTTATATTTTTATAGTTGTGTGACAGATTATATTCAATAATGAATAAATTATCATAGAAATGTTGTTTCTTCATTGATAAGCCTCCTTTGTGAGTGTTTACTTATGCCCATAGGGCTACAAACACAAGTCAGTGAAACCTAGGCAGGTGTCTGGGGGCAAACAAGGGAGGTGTGGGGGTATACAGGGACCTGGACTCTTAACGGGGGCCTTGGCAAGGTTTGACCTCTGACCTCCAACCTCACAGATAAGATGGGATGCGATGTGAGGTAGAAAGGAGATACTAGGGAGCCAAGTACTCCAAAGGCACGGGCTGACTGGATGGCAGAGTGACCTGCAAGTAAAGGGGACAGGACCAGTGCTGCCAGCCTTGCTCAGAAATCAAACCCTGGCAGGATGAGCTGAGGCCGGAAGCAGGGCTGACAGCCAGTTTGACAAAAGAAATCCAGGAGGAGTTGTGGCACCTCAAGTGGAGGTGGGCGGGGTCATCCCCTCAAGGTTATAAACCTACTCAAGCTTGAAAGTAGGGCAGTGATTGAGTTTGATATCAATGGGAACACTTGCTAGGGTTTTTGTTGTTGTTGTTGTTGTTTGTTTGTTTGTTTTGGGGTTTTTTTGTTTGTTTTTTTCGAGACAGGGTTTCTCTGTATAGCCCTGGCTGTCCTAGAACTCACTCTGTAGACCAGGCTAGCCTCGAACTCTCAAACTCAGAAATCTGCCTGCCTCTGCCTCCCAAGTGCTAGGATTAAAGACGTGCGCCACCACCGCCTGTCTAGGTTTTGTTTTTTAACAGAATACAACTTCAGCTTTATATCCGTCTCCTAAATCCTTTAAAAATAGCAGTAGTTTAAAATGATATGCAAGGTCTTACCTGTGAATGCTTTGTTTCAGAATTAGTACTGCTCGTGGCTGTGAGTGTGAGGGTTCTCCACTCTTCTTCCTCTAAAAATATAGTTTGTTTTCAAAATCCTCATAAGTATGCTGAGTTCTGGCATGCCATGTCCATACTTTATTTTTCCTGTCCTTTCCTTGCTTCTGCTCTCTGGTCCCTTTCCTCCCTTCTGTTTTCATGTTACATGTATTTGACCACTCTCCTTGTGTTTCTTCTCTGTTCTGTCAATCAGAATGGCCTCTAGATAGGAGTACTGTCCTTTTAGAAGCCTTCTGAGCTCACAAAACTCAAGGTCCATCTGGATGGCTGCTAAGATACTCTTAATAGAAAATGCACAGTCAGTCAGAAAATCCAAAGTCCTAGCCACTATCACATGGAGACAATACTCCCAACTTGAGAAAGGTTAATTATCTGATTGCCAGGAATTGTTCTCCTACTATAAGGTCTGTTTAATTCTGAAAGAGTCTCAGTGTCTTCCTGAACATCGTTATTATAAGAATTAACATCGAATTATGTATAGGAATTGTACATATGAATGTGCGTATAGAATAGTGTATGTGTGTGAGAAGGTATATATAGGGGAGTGTGCATGAGTGTGCATAGGGGAATGCGTGAGTGGGGGTATGTTTAGAGGAGCATGCCTAGGTGGGTATGTATAGGGGAATGTGCATATATGTGTAGGATAATGTATGTGTGGATATATACCTAGGGAAGCATGCATATGAGGCTATGTGTAGGTGTTCATCATCTATTGTAAACAGAAAAAATAAAGAAACGAAACTGAGAAACAAATGTTAGGAAAATTGATCAGTCATTCTTAGCCTAGAACCATTGACATTTTAGGAGAACATGTGAGTACTTGAGCTAGAGAAGATGTAAAATAATCTTTTTTTTTCTTTTCATTTTAAAATTGACAGGCAAAAATATACAATTTCCCTGTTGGGAATCAACCAGTTGCCAGTGTGTTTGCTCCTAAGCCAGCCATCATGAGGGAGGAAAGTGGTATGCCTCCGCCCTGGGACGCTTCCCTGCTGGAGAGTGAGTTCTTCCAAGGTAAGCTCATGCACCAGCTCTCCCTGAGAACTCCGGGAACTAAAGAGAGACAAATATTGACTGTAGTTTGTACTCCATGCTCTAAACAAATCAAGGCCTGGACTAGCTTCCTTCATCTCGGAGGATTCTATGTTATGACCCAGATCTTGAATCTTATGGTTAAATATAAATCTAAGCCAATAATCTGAGATCAAAGAATGACAAATGTATGGGCTGGTAATAATGTTTAATATTTTACCTTGGGTCAAGAAGAAACACATCTATAAAACTAGCCCTTAAAACTCTGTTCCTGATTAGGGCTAAATGCACTGTGATAAAATCCTGTAGTCATTAATTCACTGAACAGGTTTAGATTCCAGAAGTGCGTAATACACATGAATCTTACTACTAATACCACAGTTCAACTTACATGTGATATTCTGGATCACAATCAGCCTGGCCAATAGGAAAGTTAAATGCATGGTCATTCAGCAGCTTTACAGTGAGGAAACAATCAACCTGTCTTCGGTGAAATGGAACCAGTGGTAGTCATTCAGGAGAGCCTGTAGACTCGGCTGTCTAGGAACACCCTGGGGCAAGATGGGCAGGGACCAGGGGAAAATCTAATCCAAATGAAGCTTTTGTTTGAAGAGGAATGATCCTGGTACCCGTCTCTGAAAATAAGGTAGGAAACAGAGCACTAATTTCTAGGCCTCTCAAGAAAAGCAGCCCCATTAAGATAGCTTCTGAACATCTTTGAGTAGGTGGATTTTGTTATGGGATAAGAGCGGCTCTTCCTGGGTAGGAGTCCATGTGTCCATAATCTCTTTTGTGTTTTCTATTCTAAGTGAATTTTGTTTTGTAGCAGACATAGGCTTTAATGTTTTGAGGGAGTTAAACAGCTCAAAGAGGAGAGTTTTTTATTTTATCATTTGTTTTAAAGGCAGGTTTCATTAATTCTGTAAAGTTTTCTTTTTTATCTTTTTTCCTCTCTTATAATCTGGCGTAGTTGATAATTTTATTGTGGATTGTTTCAGTGACTAGGAGTCAAGTGGCTTTCCATTGAGCATCCTTTCCTCATACGATCTTAGTGATCAAGATGAGCTCTGCTGGCATTGTCAGCTCAGGAGCACTTACAGAGGAGAAGTCTGGAACAGAAGGGAAAAGATCCCTCTAGTGCCTGCCCAGATGTGATTGGCACATTGCTTGTACATCCATACATGACAGCTGTATGTACTCAGATGCTGATATGGCTTGCTTTCCATGATTTATTAGTTTAAAAAAGTACTAAATAGCAAGTAATATAACTGAAGCGAGTCCTTAGCACAAGGAAGAAAGATTTCTGTAGATGCCGAGCTTCAGCACTTTGAAAAATACACACTTCTACGTCCGATCTGATTTTTATTAGGGAGTATTTCACCAATAAATGCATAACTGATTTGTGTTCATCATAAAATATATACACTAATATGTCTGTTATAAGGCAGTCTTAGAAAAATCTAAACACCTTAAAGAGAGTGTAGTTATAATAGTTTAATGGAGGAAAATCCTTACTATGATTAAATACAACTCAAAACAATGCCAGTGTTAAGCCTGAAAATTTCAAAAAGACCAAATCCATGATTGTCCAATTAAAGCAAGCTGTATTTTGATGTAACTTGGGACTGGCCAGCCAGCTGTTTTACCTTAAGTTGGGATTTGAAAGAGCAGCCTCTGCTGGTCTCTTGAAGTCTCTCTCATAGGAGAGATAAGGTGTTCACAGGGGTGAGAGAAATCTGTTATACATTGTTAAAAAGATACAATGAAAGAGAAGGATCATGGGTAAGCAAATGCATTGTATGAATGGGGTTGCAAGTAGTTTACATCAGATCTAAGAAACAGGAACTTCTTCTTAATTACAAATAAAAACCTTAACTTGCATGGACTTAACACAGGACAAACAGAAACATATTTTAACTACAAACAGAAACCTTAACCTGCGCAGGGCAGACAAGAACTTCTTCTCAATTACAAATAGATACCTTAATGTGAAAGAACTTAACATAAGACAGCCAGGAACTTATTCTTAACTATCTTAGCTACAAACAGAACCCTTAACCTGCAAGATACATTGTTCCCATTTTGGTCTGTCACCCATCAGCTTGACAGGTGTATTGCTCTTGTTTTGCTCTCGCAGCCACAACAACTTGGATGATGTACAGTGGCTTGTCTAAAGTTGCAGACTAAGGTACTTTTGGTACCCTGGGTCTGGGCTTAGCCTCCATCCTTCATATTATAAAGAGATCACTGCGCCCTGGCTTGGATAGCACCCTCTCTGGGACCATAAGATAAATGTCAGCATTGGTTTACAACAGCAGCTTTCCCTCCTAATAAAGCTCTATCTCATTTGCATGGCTTAAGCCTTTGTGTAGAAGGACTCAGGAGACAGTGTCTGGGTCCAAATCCCTGCACTAAATGACCTGGGCCTTGTCTTGATTTCTTCAGTGTCCTCACTTATAAAACAAAAATAGTAAAAATGCCACCCCTGTAAAGTTTATATAAGTACTTATTAATTGCTGCTCTGTGCCTGACACATGGGAATTGCTATATTACAGTAGTTTTCTGGGGGAGAAAAAGCCTCTACAGTTAACATATCATTTAATAATATTGTATAGAACTTTAAATTCCACATATCATCCAAATGTACTCAACTAAGTGTTTATACATTAAATGGTACTGAACTTTTGTCTGTGATGCTATTTTCTGAACAGAACAGCTAAGAAATCATATACCATGCACAGGCTTATTTATATTACAGACTCATGATGTGAATAAAGTTGAACTATTACAGTAACCTTGTTACATGAAAGAAATAGAGAGACATGAACTAATAATCCTCAGTGTGCCTAGCAATTCACTGGCAAGTGTATATTGCAATCTACACTATTTGCTTCTGTTATTAGCCCACGATGCACAAAGAGTAAAAAGACTTACACAGAAAGAACCGGACAGGCAGTGGTGGTGCACGCCTTTAATCCCAGCACTTGGGAGGCAGAGGCAGGTGGATTTCTGAGTTCGAGGTCAGCCTGGTCTACAGAGTGAGTTCCAGGACAGCCAGGGCTACACAGAGAAACCCTGTCTCGAAAAACGGAAAAAAAAAAAAAAGAAAAAAAAGAAAGAAAGAAAGAACCTAGTTGAAATTTATTAGAAAAAAGTATAACTTTGTGTATATGTATGCACACATAGGAGTGTGTGTGAAAGCAAATGTGTGTGTGTGCGCATGCGTGTGTGTGTGTGTGTGTGTGTGTTCATTTGCATGTAGAGGCCAGAAGTCAACTTTATATGTGGTTCCTCAGGAGCTTTCCACCTTCCACCTTGTTTTGTGTGTATATGTTCATATATGTGTGGGTGAGCATGTGAGTTATTATGTGTGTTGTGGCCAGAAATCAATATTGAGTGTCTTCTTTTTTTTTTTTGGTTTTTCGAGACAGGGTTTCTCTGTGTAGCCCTGGCTGTCTTGGAACTCACTCTGTAGACCAGGCTGGCCTCGAACTCAGAAATCCACCTGCCTCTGCCTCCCAAGTGCTGGGATTAAAGGCGTGCACAACCACTGCCTGGCTATTGAGTGTCTTCCTAATTGGCTTTCTACCTTTTTTATTCATGTATGTATGTATGTATGTATGTATGTGTGTGTGTATGTTTGTATGTATGTATGTGTGGTGTGTGTGCATGCTTGCCTCTGTGGGATGCACATGAGGGTTTGTACATAAGAAAACATTTCATTGGGTCTAGTTTATGGGAAGCCTGGCAGCATGGTAGCTAGAGAGGTAACTGAGAGGTCTACATTCAGATCGGCAGGCAGCAGGGAGAGAGAGTGAGCCAGTGGGCCTGGCTTGAGCATCTGAAAACTCAAACCTCACCTAGTGACACTTCCTCCAACATGGCCAGACCTACTCCAACAAAGCCACACCTCCTAATAGTACCATTCCCTAGGGGACTTTGGGGGCCATTTTCATTCAAACAGCCACACTGGGTAAGCACTTGATTCACTGAGCTCTCTACCTTCAGACAATTATTTTTTGTATTTGTATGTATATGTGTGCATGAGTATAGAAGTGAGTGTGCTCAAGAGGTCAAAGGTCAACTCTCAGGAGTCCTTTCCACCTTTTTAAAGCAGGATTGCTATCATTGTATAGTATCTTCCAAGGTGGCTGGTTCACAAGGGCTTTTGCCTCTTTTCATCTCCACTTCTCTTCTTGCTGTAAGAGTCCTGGGGTTATAGATGAATGCCATCAAACCCAGCTTTTTTATATGGATTCCAGGGATTTGCTGAGCCATCATCCCAACTTCTGCCTTATTTTTTGTAACAAGGTATCTCACTGAACCTGGAGCTCACCAATTTGACTAGACTGGTTGTCTGCTGAGTTCCAGGAATCCCTTATCTCTGCCTCACCAGTGATAGGATTACATGTCCAGGTCACCACACCTGGCCTTCTACTTGGGTACTCTAAATTCAAGTGTTCCTGTTTATGTAGTCATCAGTCTGAATGACTGAGCTGACACTCTGATCCCCAGCTTGTTGTTTGAGACCAGATCTTCCTGGAATCAGGACTTTGCATTTAGGTTAGGGTGGCTGGCCAGCAAGCCCCAAGGCCCCACCTGTCTCTGCTCTCCCTTCCCCCACTGTGGGGACTGCAAACTCATGACACTATTCTGGCTTCTTTCTGGCGACTAAATCCAGGTCTTCATGCTTGTAGAGCAAATATTTTACTGACTGAGTTTATCTCCTCACCCCAAAATATAGCTTTATATCCTTAAAGATATGATGAGAAAAGAGAACTGCATTACAGTCTTGTAAAAGTCATATGATCATTTAAATACTATCAAGATTCATGTTATATTAGCCAGGTGGTGGTTGTGACACACTCCTTTAATCCTAGCAGTTGAGTGACAGAGGCAAGCAGATCTGAGTTTGAGGCCAGCCTGGTCTCTATAGTGAGTTCCAGGACAGCCAGGACTACACATAGAAACCCTGTCTTGAAAAAAAACAAAATGGAAAAAAAAAGATTAATGTTATATTTGTAATAACAAAATATGAGTCTCAGAAGGGGGACTTTAATGACTCTAATTGTTATAAAACTACAAAATCATATACAAAAATTAATTCCCCTTCTCCTTTAGTTTTAGATGATTTGGACAACAAGCTGGCTCAGGAACAATCTTCAGGCTTGATGAATACCAGAGTGCCATTCGACCACGGATCGAGAGCACAGTTCAAACTGTCTCACAGGAACAGGCATGGTCAGAGCACAGGAAGGCATGAAAACTACCATCGTGAAACTTCCAACATGTCTATCTATGACATCCTGAGACCTGGAACCCCTAGAGAAGGCTTTAAAACCTTTTCTCCTAGGACAAAGACAATTTATGATATGTATAGGACCAGGGAGCCCAGAGTCTTAAAGGAAGACTTCATGCAAAAGAATGCATTTGGTAGTACATCTCTGTGTTTTGACAGCCGAGAAAGATCAGCCTCGCCTGCTGCAGGGCGTTTTACTGCCAGGAGTTTACACTTTCCAGCTGATACTCAAAACAAGAGTAGTTTTACACCAGTGAGGCACCAGCAAAGCCCCAAAAGGACCCCTTTATCATCCATCATATGGAATAGGTCAGATTCTTCTAGACATAGGCAGAATCAGGAAGAGTCACTGGGGGTACCAGCACCAATGGACATTGACCCTGCTGAGCAATATGTGCCCTCTAGGTGTTTTCAGGAAAGTAGGAGGTATGAGGTGTGCCATTCACAGAACACTTACCAAAGCTACCCTTTAAATGTCCCTGTGGATAATGCAATGGGTCCTGACACATTGGAGAACTCAGAGAATATGCCATTCTACCGTCAGAATAATCCGTTTGCAAGATCTTTCTTTAGCAGTACCTTCAGACAGAGCAGAGAACAGAGATTTGGACAGAATTCTTTTTGGAGCCGACAGGAAGAACATTCTTCCTGGTCTAACTTTCCCCAGAGCAGGAAGCCATTCCCTTCTGACAAGGACTTTGAAATGATTTCTGTTGAAGCAAACAGGGCATCATCTGTTTGCAGCCATGGTGTCCCTTCTCAGCACTGGAGGCCACGTTCTCCTGGCTGTGGAACATACGTTTTCAGAGGTCAAGAAGATTCACATTGCTGGCGATCTGATTTTCAAACATCCCCACTGGAGAACATGGACATCTCACATGTTAATGAGAACCGGTTTCCACCCCATTTTGTCACAGCAGATGGGTTTTCTATAACTGACTCGAGTTGCCACATCCAGCCTTCTGGGCTGGACTCCCAGCAGGGCCACGGCCCTATAGAAGAAGCTGTAGATGAGAACCCTTATTTGTTTGGCAAGGCTCAGACTCCAGTATCTTCATTCAGAACTTCCTTCCTCCTGAGTCCCGATAACAGAAGGGAGACTCAGAGTTCCAGCTTCCAGAATTCCACAGCTACTTTACAGAAAATAATCTCTGATAAGCCAGACTCTCTTCCAATAAGAAACTGTACAGAAGTTCCTGTGGCTTGTAGCCATTCTACAGAATCTCTGTCTCTTACTGAAACCCAGCCCAATATCCCAGTCACAGAAATGAACAGTGAGAAAGATATGGATGCATCTATTTCAGAGGATGAACAGCTAAACAAGGTGGACCAGAAGAACAGGCCAACTGGGTTATCCCAATCTGTTTCACAGACAGTGATCTCTAGTGATTTACCTGACTTTCATAATGCCCACTCCCAGGATTCAACCCAAAATGACATGTATGGTTTTAATGCATCTGCCACAGAACATTCCAAAAGATCATCTAGGGTCTTTTCCAGGAAAGGTACTTCCCAAATTCATACAACACAAAGAGATCAAAGCAATGAACTGAACAAAAATAAATGTCTTTCTGGGGATAGGAGACTTGACTCAGCAGCTTTCATCCAAGAAAGTGGAACATCGACATCTCTTACCAGCCCAAATCAAGGTTGTCACCAGAAAACAGGAAGTAGTGAAGACAGTTCAAGCACCATTAAAAATAGCCATTGGTGCTTTGAACCCACTGCTAACCAAAAATCACAGCTTTCCAAGGAGCCTGCTATTTTAGATCTTGAGCAACAGCAAAGTCCCTCCACTCATTCTACCAATGGCAGCAAGCTGGCTGCTGGGCACAATGTCTCACGAGATCCTGTATATGTGTCATCAGATGCACCCCAAGATTCTTTCCTTGGTGCTCTTCTGGTACCTTCCACTACAGTGTTCTCCAGGAGCCTTTCAGACCAAAATCCAGGTCAAGAACAACGAGAAGAAAAAGACAAAGCTACCAAGAACCAAAATAATCAGCTGGCTGTAAATTCTGCAGATGACCAAGAGAGTCATGATGGTCCTGCACTTCCGCATGATGCTGTTCACTGCCACCCATACTCTCCCTTCAAGAATGGGAGGGGGAAGGGAAGAGTAAGGCGCCGTGTGTCCTGTATTGAGAAGCTAACCAAAACAGAGAGTAGAGCGGCACCCACAAGAGAAGGCAGTAGCTGTGCTGAGGACCCAAGCAGCATCAAAGCTCCTGAGCTCAGCACAGTCTATTGCACCTTGCCAAGAAAACCAGCCAGCTTCCTCATACACAGCAGACAGCAGGAAAGTAAGGTAGTGGCTGCTTCAGTTAGGAATGGGCCACCTCCATTCCAAATAAAAAATAAAGCAGAAGTTCTCACTGGAAAGAGCACATCTGACAAGCCCAGTTCTCCTGAATCAATGGGTGATGCTGCAAATTCAGTCATGGGGACACCCAAAGCCACCAAGAGGATGACAGATATGAAAGCCATTAGATCAGCCTCAGTTAGGAAAGGACCACTCCCTTTCCTCATCAAGAGGGCGGTATCATGTCCTTCAGGGGAGCCATGTACCTTGGCTGAAAGTGGTGAAAGAGAAAAGTCACCAGTCCTGGACATGGATACTTCTCCTATAATACCCAGGCTTTCGGGGAGACTCTTTAACTCTCTGGAAGGTGAATCATCATTTAGATTTTCTGAAAAGGAACTTGCTCAAGAACACATTGGAAAGAGTAGTGAGCCTCTGGCCCCCAGAATGAACTCATTTGCCCTTTCAAACAAAACCCCTGAACCTTTGTGTGCAACTGGATCAGGAAAAGAAAGTGGGAAAGCACTCCATAAGTTTAAGACGACTAGCATGTTTTCTGTTTCTGGCGATGAAGAGAATGTGAAGTGTCTTGAGGTGGTTTCAATATATTATACTCTACCAAGAAAACCCAGCAAAAAATTCTGCAGCCTCCTTCAGCAGTACGCACAAGGTACCGATTCACTTAGAGATGCTTTTCAGGGAGAAGCTAAAGCATCTCCTAATGCTTTAGAAGCCAATGAGCTGAATTGTCCTGCACAAATGCAGTCAGGAATACCTTCACCACACGACCTAAAGATGCAGGTTGACTCTGCTCCATACTGTCTCTCCCACAGCCCTCAAAGTAAGGCTATCTCCCAACTGCCAGATAGAGAGACTTCCAAATCTACATCAGAGGAAATGGCTTCTGTGGGGTCAGATGTTTCTCTTCACAGAGAAGAACCTAGGATCAAAGAGATTTCCCCAAGTAATGTATCTAAAACAGCTCTAGATGATTCACTAAGCAAAGAAAAGAGAGAGAAAGAATTGCTAAGACAAATCCTACAGAGCCCATCACTGCATCAGGAAAAAGGTGCTGGAGAAGAAAACACTAAGAGTCATCAACAACCTTCTAAAGGAGGAAGCAGTGGTCCCTCCAGTCTCCCATCTCACTCAGAAGATAATGTTGAAAATTCCCAAATCAGAAGAGATTCTGGAATATGTGCAGGTGGCATGGCCACTATCTCTTCAGGAAATGGACGGTATCCTTGGAGAGGTCATGTGGCTGTAGTTGTAGCTGACCGTTCTAGTAGGTCACAGCCTAGGGAAACCAGTGGAACAACTGGGTCATACTGCCAAAACCTGACTGATAAAATGCTCTCTGACTCAGAAAGTGAAACCTTTGCTCTGACACCAGCATTGCGAAAGCTGCAGCTTGCTGAAGAGGCTCAGTCAGGGGGAGCAGGTCTGCAGTCAGAACCCAGGCAGGCAGGAAGTCAGGAAACAGACACAGCAGAGATGAGGAAGGTTGAAGATGAAGGACAAATGTTGACATGGGATCAAACTTTACTTCCTAGAGGAAATAATAAAAATAAAACCATCATGGATGACCTAGAAACAAAAGACAGATACTCAGGTAAACATAGATTGACAGCCATATCTAAAGCAAGCAAAAAAATCCCAGCTAAGGATTTAAGTCCCAGAAAACATGTAGCTACTATCTTCTCCCAAAATGAAAGCAAATCTGGCTTTAGGAGGCTCTCTCTTTATAGACCAGAGGACAACCCACCATCCCCTGAACCTATTATAAAATCAACAGAGTCCACAGATAAAAGCAGTCCCATGAATATGGACAAATGTGAGACCCTTCTCCAGGAGACCACAGTTTCTAGCCCTGGACCTCCTGGTCAGTCCTGCAATCAAAATTCTGCTAACATTTTGCAAGCACATCTGAGTGGGTCACACAGCATCTCAGAAGCATCACAAAAGACCAAGGGTTCTAAAGCTCAGATTTCAGGAGAGTTGGGAGCCCCAGCTCAGCTTACACTAACCAGCCCCTTAGAAAAAAGTGCTGGCTGTCAGCAGAGGTTAAGTCCTCCTTTCCCCCTAGAGCCTACACAGAAATCAACAATAAACTCCCATTGTCAGCTGCGGCACAGGAGTGCCCCATCTCCAGAGTCAGAACCTGAGTCACAGCTCTATCGGTCAAAGAGTTTAAGAAACATCAATGTGCACAGCGACCTGTTGTGTACAAGCCACCCTCCCAAAGCCAGAGGGCGCCACTTCTCCGAAAACACTTCCATTGACAATGCTCTGAGTCAACTGTCCCTTGAAGATGACTCCTTCCCCAACAGTGGGTACAATCGAAGATTCAAATCTTTTTCCGAGCTTCCTAACTCTTACGAAAGTGAAAGTTGGACTTCATATAACAATAGGACACAAGGTCCCAAGTCCACCTCATCCATTTCCAGGCCTATTGACTATGGAATTTTTGGGAAAGAGCAGCAGTTGGCTTTCTTGGAGAATGTCAAACGCTCACTCACACAGGGAAGATTATGGAAGCCAAGTTTCCTCAAGAACCCTGGCTTCCTCAAGGATGATGTGCTTAATGCTTCCAACCTGTCACAGTCAGAGCTGGTAAAGTCTCCTGCGGGTCAGGTACCAGAAGATGGCTTATTTCCAAGTGAGCCACTTAATATCTACAAGGACGACCCAGTGGATCCACTGGACTCAGACTGGGACACAGACACAACCACAGATGATGAGTACTACCTGGATGAAAACGATAAAGAGTCAGAACTATGAGACTTTTGCGAGAAACTGCATAATATAACACTGTCATGTTTTGCTTTTTACCAAAAGCTTACCATGGAAATTAGTCCAATAATTATAGACAGAAAAAATAGAGCTGGTTTAGGAAGTGTTCAATCCCTTTTTATTCCATTTTTTCCTTTCTGGATTCTAAGAATAATGCCCACTGTTCTTGAAGGGTTTTGTGTGTGTGTGTTTTTTCCTGCTATGTTTTTCCTGGTGTGTTTGAACTTGGTCCTCCTCGTCTCTAAGCCACTTTCCAATGTTAGCACTCTTTTCTCAACTTCTCTTACCTTTAATAGTTTAGGAATATGTTCGACCTTGTGACTTGTTAATTACCCAGCACAGCTGCAAAACTGAATTGCCTCTGTCCACAGCCTGAATTCCTGCTATTAAATGTAACATAGGGAAAGCAATAGTGGGGTAAAATGCAGGCATTGTGTATGCATATGTTTATGCAGTGTCTACAGAGGCCGGAAGAGGGCACTGGAACCCATGGAATGGGAGGAACAGATGGTTGTTAGGAGTCACATGGGTTCTGGGAATCAAACCTAGGTCCTCTGCAGGAGCTGCAAGTGCTCTTATCTCCTGAGCCCTCTCCAGCCACGCAAGAAATGAGCATCCTTGTTATGCTCTGTCCTCTGGGCAACTTTCACATCTGTAGTGGATTCTTGACACACATTTAGAGAACATGTTAGGTTATAAATGAAAGGTTAGTCCCATTAATGCCTTCAGGGATTTCTCTGAGATAGTTGTGCTGATTGGCTGAATTTTTGAAGGCTAAGTTTTCATGCTTAATGCTTGGGTAAAACTCAAATGATGTGAGCAGCATGACTTGGCCACAGAGAAGTAGCTGACAGACAGAGATGAACAGACAGCTCTTTATTGGGCCAGCATGATTGCTGCTCTCTTCCTATCTGATTTTTCCCATCTCTCCAGACCTGTGCATTTCCCATTTCCTTATTTATAGCCCAGTCTTGGGCTTTGTAAACTTTTCTCACATAATTTCTTTATTTATAGCCCAGGTTCTATAATTTGAGGAATTTTTACATGATATCAGGTATATGTATACATAAAATAGATATACAAATCAAACATTCACTGATAACTCAAATTTATTTTAAAACAGTTTTCTGGCTTACACAAATTTACCATTTGTTTAAGGTAAAAACAAACATACACCAATTAGATGGTTGTATCTTTTTGTCTAACACAGTGCAGTCTAAGGACATACTAATGTTACCCACATGCTGGGGAATAGAGTGGACTTTCTAAAGTCTTTGTTGTCTGTAATTGCATTTATATAAGAGAAGAAATCTTTGCATGCACAGTAAAAACAGTGCAGTTTGTAACAGAATATCAGATCCTGCCCCTTCTCTTCCTCTACCTCTCTCCCTGTGTTCTTTCCTCCTCTCCCCCCTCACAGTACCAGAGGCATGCTGTGTGTTTGAGTCAAGGCTGCAGTGAGGTAATATATGCACCCTGGGTAAGCACTGCCAGGATTCTTTATGTGTTTAATTTTGGGTTAATTTTTGTTTGGTACAGATTCAGAGGCCTTTTATTGTTGCTTTTTTTTTCAACCCTACACTCAATTCTGTGAAGACCCGTGATTTAAGACTCTTTGTACTAAGCTGCCTCACCAAAATGAGCATTCAGTGGGAACCTTGTATGAGTCCTTAAAATTCAAAGTCATATGATGTCTGGGAACCACTTGGCTTCTCCGCTGAACCATCTGTCAAACCCTCAGGCACATTTAACTCTGAGCCCCTAATGTATTGTAAATCACTTGTGATGCCATGGCTAATTTGGCTTCCTACCTCTTTAGTTGCTACATAGAGTATCTGGGGCTTTCTCGCCTTGTAATTCATGGTGAAAGTCTATGAACGAGGGTGGTCTAGACCTGCAGGCAACATGGGATCCAGGATCTCAGTACAGGACTGGATTTTGTCTTGTTCTATAAGTGTTTCTGACTTACTTTTAGTTCCCACTGTTGATCCAGAGAAGCTGAAGCCGAGTGCAGGTATTGGAAAAGCATATAGAGAGCTGGCACAGACACAAATACAAGGAAGATCAATACATTATTATTGCCCTCATAATTGTTGTCTGGCCTGGGCAGAGTTTGTATCAGTTCCATAAAACTTGAAACTTAGTGAAGGTGAGGTCACTAACAGGAAAACCTTTCCTTAAACCTGTGCACTCAAACTTTGAGCTCTGGCTAAAGCTCACAATGATGCCTAATAGAATTCTAAACCAGCTCTTCTGAATGGATCAAAAGTTGAATAGAAACAAGTACAATTCAATTTCTAGTTTAATGTTGTGTTTGTACATATGCCTTTCCTCTTTTGCTATTTGATTATTTAAGTAAAACTCATATAGTATGACTTTGTGTATAATTTTAATATATTCAGAGATATTTTAACATTAAGATCTTTGTTGTTTTTTTTAAGTGATCACCATGAGATACTATTTCAATAAATATTTTGTGTCTACAGGAGTCTAGAAAGGGTGACAAGAAGTTATCTTGCTTTTCAACAAGGTGAGGCTCTCAGAAAGGGAAGTCAGAGTAAGAAAGGACAAATGCACTGGGGGCTCAGGCTCTCTGTTCTGGAATCTTCTATCCGTATCGAAGGCTGCCCCTCAGCCATTGCTTGTCTGCTCTATGTGTAAGGACTACCTACCTGCTTGTCAGCCTGAGGGATTGGGAAAACAGTAATTTCACAAAAATGGAATAGCATCTCTACTGTTTTATAGTTTTATGAAGCACTTCGTTGAAGAAGTATAGAGAGTTTCAAGAATTTCTTTGTGTTGTATGTAATATATAAACTGCTGGGTTTTGATGCACATTTTGGGCATAGCTGTGGTAACTTCAATGATAGTCATTTTATATTGGTTTTTCTAAAATACATAATCATTATTAAACTTTCTTGTAAATGGAGTAAAACACTAATCAATACTAATAAGTGCCTAGGAAATTACGAGCTTGCTTAAACATTAGGATAACACAACTATATAAACTGTATTGACTTGGTTTAAAATGGAGTTTAGTAAGTTTATTTTACTCTGTAGATACTTCTGAACAGTTTACTCTTATATCATTAATACATTGATCTTAACAAAACTCTAATTGCTATTAACATGAATTTGGTTAAGGATAAGCTCAAAAGAGAAAACTGTTTTGTATAGGAAATAAAGATGAGTCACACGGGTGCTAAAAGAAGCCTACTGAGGTTGTGAAAAAAATGAAATTCAAATGGAAATTCACATCTCTGTAAAAACAAGTTCCCATAATGAATGCTGGTTCAAACAGGCCTCACTGCCTGGAGTTCACTGTATAGTAGAGCTGTAGAATACCCTATCTAAATGTACAGTATAAATATGTAAATATTTTACTTTGCAAGTTTGTATTACTACTTAAAGGCTCTTTCTGACTGATAATTCTATTCTGAAACAATAAGCCATAATAAGCACTTTGTCAAAACTGTCAAATAACCCTTTTATGTTTCTCCTCAGATTTGTTCCCAAAGTATGGAATATGGAATAGAGGGTGAAATTTTAAAACACTTTTGTGGAAATAAAGAACTTAAACAGAAGCACTGCATCCTTTGTTGGTTTTTCTGGGTTTGTGCTTCTGAAGATGGAACCCACACACTAGGCAGCTCTACCACTAAGCCATAGCCTCAACTCCAAAATACTGTTAGAGTTGCTTTTATTTACTATCCTTAGATTAGTTTTTAAATCTTTGTATGTGTATGAGTTTGCCTGTTTGTGCACCACATGCATGCCTGGTGTCTACAGAGGTCAGAGGAGAGCATCAGATCTTGAACCGGAGGTACAGATAGTTGTTAACTGCCATGTGAGTACTGGCAATGAAACCTGGGTCCCCTGGAAGAGCAGCCAGTGCTCTTAACTACTGAGCCATCTCTCCAGCCCCTTAAAAGATGATTTTTTTTTAAGTTTGAAGTTTTCCAGGAAAATTACAAAGATACTGGAGGGGAATGTGCCTGGTCTTTCTGGCAGCTATTGGGAGAGGGTTGTCAAATGGATAATTTATAATTCAAAACAAAAAGAGTGGCTTACTTCTGTTTCATGTACACCCAAAGTAGTCAACCATTTTGGAGACATTAGAGTGCCTAGGCTGACATCACTTCCTGGAGGTTCTCAGGTATAGCAAAGAGGAGGCAGCAGGCTTGAATTGGGAGCCTCATCCAATATCACCACAGATTATTCTTTGTAGCTTAAGATAATCACTTAATGACCCTTCTAATTACTGTGTATTGGTTGACTGGTTGTAGTCTTAGTAGTCAATTGCTTGTCCCCCCACCCACCCACCCCCAGGCACCCCAGCAAAGGAGGTGTTATTTCAATTGTTACATAATTTCTTAGGCCATCTTTCACTATCACCTAGAACCAGATAACCCCCAGCTCACTTCTCTGGGAAAAGAAATTTAAGTTCAATTTTGACAGAGTGAATAAAATGTGTTCTACACAGGTTTTGTGTGTGGGTGGTGGTGGTATTTATTTATTTATTTATTTATTTATAAATGCTAACTGGAACAGAGCAGGCATTCTATCAAAGCATGCAAATGACTCCAGGAAACAAATCAGTGGAAATCACACTAAGTTATGCTACATTGCTGCCCTGTAGTTTACAAGTGACCTATTCTCAGTTTCAAATGATGCTTCAAAAGAATGCTGTCTATAACTTCCAGTGGTGGAAGCCAGGCTAACCCAAGACCCCAGCACTGTGGAGTGCATATGGGCATCTGGTGCTTTCTTCCTGCTGGCCTCTATCCTAACCTATGATTGGTAATTGGGTTGGTGACTTGGGCCCAAGCTCAAAATGCTCAGGAGCCCAATTAAAGCTTGGAACCTGGTTCTGATATGCTCCGGGTTGAGATCTTTAGGGATGGGGCAGAAGCCCTCTGTCCATTCTACAGAATGAGTTCTTCCAGATTCCTCATCCTGGGAAGAATAATTAGTTCCTAATATTTTAATGCTATGCAGATAAAAAGAAAAAATAATTAGCAAGAGTGAACAAACGGGGACTGTGGGGAAACTGTTCTTCCTGGCTTTTAATGCTCAGGAGTGCAGTGCCCAGGCCATCCACCCTACCTTTCCAAAGTGGGCAGGGAAGGAAAGATGCCCAACTCTGCTGAGAAGCTTGCCCAGACCCTGCCTTCTGCTGCCCAAGTGCCCTACACCAGAAAACACTGAAAGACAAGGGACAGAAAGGGAACCATACTCCAGTGACTTCATGGTCAGAGGCTGCCAAGCACAAATAAATGAAACATGTGGGCCTGTGTGTGAACCAAGACTGGTGGAATTCCTCACAGGGAAGCCATTCCTCGTTGTTCCACTATGGCACTGGAAACCAAACCCTGGTTTAAACTTATTGTAAGCCACGTCTCAAACCTTTTTTTCTGGCTGGGTGTAGTGCACATCTTTGATCCCAATACTTGGGACACAGAGGCAGGTGGATGACAGTGAGTTAAAGATCAGCCAGTCTATATAGATATAGAGAGAGTTCCAGGGCAGTAGGAGATACATAGTGAAAACCCTATCTCAACCAGTTTTCTCCACAGGGCAAGGTGGCTTGGCTTACACACCTTTAAT